TCTAATGGAGTATCGAATCTTAATCTAATTGCATGTGGATCATCTTCTGGCTTGTTTAAATTAAACACAATAAATTCCCCTTTGCGAAGGTATTTGTTAATAACCATTGAAGCATTTTTAACATCATCAGTATATTGTCGAAGAATTTTAGAAATCTCTTCACGTGAACTACCAGAGTTAAACATTACTAGATGGGAGATATTCTCATGAATGAATGTAGGGACTTTATGGTATTTTTGGGTAACATATATACTTGAAATATTTCGATGACGTCCATTCCCAAAAAATTGGCTAATTCGATTCTGTATATGTTCAGGGGCTAAGCACAGATCCTTGAAAATAATTAGTGTGCTTCTTTTAGGTGAGAATGCTCTTATACTAGAAATTCTTTCAGGTAGAATGTATCTGAAACTAATATCCTCATAGAAAGGCGCTTTTGGATTCTTTGAAATCATATTATATATATACCTCACATATGCCTATTTTAGCTCATCAGGATGATACCCACAAACAATTAGATCATCACATTTAATGTAGCGAGACCCACCTTCCTTCCCTCTTTATATATATTCATCCTTATCACCAAGAACAAGGTTTCCAAGTAAATTAGTTTTACCTGAACCACTTTTCCCAGTGACCAACTTGCTGAAAGGCCATGTCATTGCCGGATGGCCAATATTTTGGGATGATTCATACTTTGTGACTTCATCCATATCTAAAAAACGAAGTTTTATAGGAGGTAGTCCTGTCTTTTAGTTCTTCTACGTATCAGATTGGAAATGCATAACCTTGATTTCTATTTATGGGTATTGTATATTTCAGAAAAATTTCTTCCTTTTTATCAGAGCGAAAAAAACGTCTATATATATACCATATAATTAGTATAATCACTAAAGCAAGAATCATGAGTTCGAATATAGGCAGAAGCATATACTGATTATCAACTAAAGCCTTATCAGCTCCTAATGCAACAATGGGCGAGGCTGAGATACTATCATATTTTTCTTTTGATTTTTGATCAACATGAAGATGGTCTCTTTGGGTCCCTATCTCATCTTTTACTTTTCTTTCATCAGGTTCAGACTCTAAGCAGTGTGAAGAAAAATAGGATACCTTTTTTACTGCTTCACCTCGCTTATAATCATTGGATGATAAAACTGGATTAGCTTCTGCACTACCTATTTTTGAATCATGAATTGTCTGATGCGGTTGCGAAACAATCTGATCTAGTTCATCTTCCAG